ACTGCACCACTACCCTGGTTTGAGTTCTTCATTACAACCTCCTGTGCTAGGAAAGGAGAAAAAGGGAACTTGTGGTTGCACTTTCTGGGATAAAAAAGTCCCTGTGTCATCCCCGTGAGCTGTTATTTGGGTTTGAGCTGTCGATGGTGCGCGGTCACAGAGCAGTTGCGTCCCTCGGTCTTCACCCAGCGGTGCTGGAAGGGAAAAGTATCGCCACTCTCCCCAAAACGAGTTGGCTGCTGCCTACGAAATGGGGTCCAGGGATTTGTTTTGCAGTGCCAGGCTGGGTTTAACCGCACACCGTGCCAGCTGGCCGAATCGGACGCAGCCGCTCGTTAAGGTGGATTTATTTCACAATTTATTTCTGTCATCAGGACGTTACCTTATACTTAAGATGTTCTGAGTAGCTGCAGATACAAGATTTGATGTTCCAGCCTTTCAGCAGCAGTAAATCCCACGGGGGCTTTTCTTTCTTTGCCTACTGCCAGTAAGAACTGTGGGCAAGTATCTAACAAGAAAAAAAAAAAAAAAAAAGGGAGAATAGGACAGAGTTGGGTTTGTGTTTTTTTTTTTCATGTACTGCTGAGAAGTTGCTTGGGGTAAAGCAGGCTTGCTGGTTAAACTGGTTTCACAGGGGAGGAGGGGCTGCAAAGCTGCCCCTTGGGTCCTGTCACACCTTGGGTGACTCTCCATCTGCTGGGGATCCCTTTCCCCGTCGTGCAGGGAGAGGGGTTTGAGAGGCTGTGACTCCGCCAGCAGGTTTGTTTTTTGCTTTCTCTGGTGCTGTCTGTAGGTGACAGCAGGGCTGAGAGCGGTGAGAAATGAAGGGCCCTGGGGGTGAGAAGTGAAGGGCCCTGGGAAAACGCTGCGCTGGCGGAGGACAGCTTGTTCCTAAACCCACTTCAAAGCTTTGCAAAAACCACGTCCTCCACTCGGAGTTTGCTGGGGTAGAGCTGGACGTAGACCTTTGGTGTAACACACGCAGCTTGCGGATGCATTTCTGGTGCTGTTAATTTTCTTTGTGACCTTACTGTTGTCTTTTTTTTGTTTGTTTTTCCCCTTGAAGCCGCGCAGTGGAATGCCATGGCCAGCTCCTCGGACAGTGAAGATGACGGTTTCATGGCCGTGGATCCAGAAGACGCTGCGGTCGAAGGGACGATGGAACAAGACGATGAGCCGCACACTGAGCTGGAGGTCGAGGAGACCAGGCATAACAGATCAATGTTGGAGCTCCCCGAAGAGGTTTTGGAATATATCCTCTCCTTCCTTTCGCCGTATCAGGAGCACAAAACCGCTGCCCTTGTCTGCAAACAGTGGTATCGACTAATCAAAGGTACAAATAGCTGTAGTGACAGTGCATTCCTTTTTTTTTTTAGTTGTGGGAACACAGATTTAAATCCCAGCTGCTCTTTGCTGTGCTTTAGCCTTGCCTGTGGTTTTCCACCTTTAACTCAAAAATTGAACTTCCACAAAATGCCGGAAAAACAGCTACAGCTGCTGGGTCACTTGCTTTGCTGAAGGCATTGTTAATAACGGTGCAGAATTGAGCCCCTCAGCCTCTGTGGTGGTTTTGTGATGGGTTTACCCTCAGCTGGGAGCCAACCCTGCACAGCCGCTCGCTCACCCTCTCCTCTCCTGAGGATGGGGCAGAGAATTAAAGGGGTGAAGGGAAAAAAGTCTCATGGGTTGAGATAAGAGCAATTTAATAACAGATAAGAGCAATTTAATAACTAAACTACAATAATATTGAAAATAACAGTATATACAAATATACAAATGAGTGATACACAGTGACACTGCTCACCACCCGATGGCCAAGGCTAATGATCCCGGAGCAGGGAGAGTCCCGAAACCACACTCACAGAACAGAGAGAACAGTCCGAGCGTCGCAGACCGAGAGCTGACCGAGGCGAGGGTGAAGGCCTTGGGAGAGTGACCACCTGGAGTGAGATGAGCCAAAGAGATCCGGAACCAAAAGGGCCGAGCTTCCAGAGGGTCCTCACCTATACACTGGGCATGCCGTGTGTGTTATGGGATAGATTATTGGCCACTCTGGGGCTCAATCCTGAACCTCAGATCAAATCCTGGGCTGGTAACTGGGGCTGTGCTCCCTCCCAGCTTCTCCTGTTTGCAGACAGCCAGAGGAGCTGAAAGACATTGGCAGCCGCCTAAACATCACTTTTTATCCGCTTCCCTCTCCGCACAAATCCCAAACACAGCCTCTCGCTCGCTAGTGTGAAGAAAGTTAACTCTGTCTCAGCTGAACCCAGGACAGGTTTAAAGAAGCGACACCCCAAAGCCTCCACGACAGAGCAGCTCACTGACGTTGCTTTGAATGTTCCGCGTTGTCCTTGCATTCAGGCTTCTTCTCCCCCACCCTCAGCAGCCCCCCGGTGCTGCCGACGCACGCCTAATGTGGCCGTAATTGTGCTTCATTTGCGTCTTGCTCGGTAATTAACATTCCCGAAGCTCAGCTTTCAGCTGGAAACAAAACAGTGCCTGGTTCTGAGAGCTCTGCTGGAGCTGAGCGGTGTATAAAATCTACATTAATACAGATCTGCATATTCAACCTTCCTGGAAGAGTAGCCCTGAGATACAGATACTCACTTTGCCTCTGTGTGGCGTTAATTCTGAAGCCTCGTGGGGATATTTTAACGCTAGATAGATACGATACGGCAAACAGGTCAAGTTTGGACAAGGATACAAGCAAAGCGATCTGCTTTTGGGTTTTTTTTTAATACCTTGGCTGATTTCTGTTCTGTTTCTGTTGGGGACGCGCGTGTTGATTGCAGGCTTTGTTAAAAACCAGGCGGTTTAACAGGAGATCGTGGTTAAATCCGTAGGAAAGGAGGCACGCTGCTGCGCGAGGGTAACTTGTTTCTTCTGGAAAAGGCAGAGGGGGCGGCAGGTGAGAATCGCCTTTGGCAGGCGTGTGGGGTGACATCTCATTTGTGAATTTCTCTGCGCCTCTAAAGCATTGCTCGGATTCCAGGCATCTTCTGCTTTGCCCAGAGTTAAACAGCCTGGAGCTTAAAAAAAATGCAACTATAGAAGTGAGCATTGCACAAAATTACTCTTTTTGCCTAATTTTGGCTCAGCAGCAGCCCACACCCCTGTCAAAAGGTTTTTTCAAGTGGCCGCAGCCCTCGAGTCACTGCTTGGGCGACTGCTTGTTCCTGGAGTGGCCGTAAGAGATGCAAAGGATGCAGCTGGAATGACCAAACGCCTGGTGATTCACCCCAAAAAGAGACTGTGGGAAACGTCCCTGGGGGGGAGGGAAGAGCAGCCTGAGGCACAATGTGGCACTGGAGTGAGCTGTCCGTGTCTCAAATCTCAGGGGATGAGTGATGCCGGGCAGTGGTGCCATTTTTGCAGCAATTTTAGCAAAAAAAAGAAAGGAGTGTAATTGCTAACCTGCACTGCAAAGCCGCGAGGTCACTCGAGGTAAATGCTCGATTTGTTTTCTTCTGCTTAATTTTTCCTGTTTCTCAGAATACATCTGCTGTGAAATCCTATCGTTGGGATTACATTGCCCACGTGGCTCTCGGCGACCAGCTGCTTGAGGACTCCGAGGCTTCTTTTTTATTTTTTTCCTTTAACTTCCTCCAGAGTGAGATGTCTTGCTGGGGGTGTTCCTGGCCACGCAGCTTTCAATGAGCAAAATTCTTGGGGAAAAAAACTCTTGGCAGGTTGTAGCATCCTCAGTGCGAAGGCTGCTGTAGCGTAGTGGATGCCACCGAGCATCTGCAGTCGTAAATCTTTTCCAGACCCATTTTTTCCCCCGCAGGGAGCAGCGTCCGGCCCCTCTCAGCACAAACACAGACACATGTGCTCCATACGCAGAATTAATCGCGGCTCTGGGGCTGCCCGGCTCCGCGGAGGAGCTGTTGTCGGCCAGATCCGCTCCCTCGCATGGCTGCGATGGGATATTTTCACCTAGGACGCGCTGACTTTTGTCACCGATGTCTCCTCTCGTATTTATTTTGTATTCCTGCGCGGTAGCTACATGCGCACTCTTAAAAATTAATTATTGCGTGTTATTTTTTATTAGAGAAGGGCAGCTGCTCCTCTGGGTGTGGGTGAGGGGCCAGGAGGCTCGCGTGGCGGCAGAGGAGGCTGAAAAGCAGCGCTGCGACTGCATCGCACGGGCTTACCTTGCACAAAATCTTTGCTTCGCCGCGCCAGAGCTGCCAGATATCGGAAACGTTGTGAATCAGTTCAGCGAACACCGCTGATTTTCCACATTTGCTCTGCCCCTATTCTTTATTCTCTTTAATCCTCCGAATTTTGTGTATTTGTGATCTAAATACAGGAGTTTTTTATAATCACTGTCACGCTGCTTGTGCAACAGCGCAGGCACGGCTTGTTCCTACCGAGCCCTAAATTTTGCTGACATCTCATCTTTTTTTTTCTTTCCCCAGGTGTGGCCCATCAGTGTTATCACGGCTTTATCAAAGCGGTGCAAGAAGGAAACATTCAGTGGGAGAGTCGCACTTACCCCTACCCCGGCACTCCCATCACGCAACGCTTCTCGCACAGTAAGTAGCTGCCGGGAAAAGCTCCGTTTCCCCGGATTTGCGACGGGAAGCTGCGACGAGGGGGTTTGAGCCGCGTCGCTCGGGACCTAGCAGCGCCTGTCGCTGCGGGAGAGTTTCAATCCATCGGTGTAACACACAGCGCTGCCAAAACAAGCGCTTTGCACAAAAATTCCGGAGCTGCTCGTCGTGATTATTGGCTCATTGCTCTTAGGAAATGGAGCTAGGGTGGGACTTTTGCTTTCTGGTTTTGAAAATTTTACACGCAGGCTTCTTTCCGCAGATCCTTTTGGGTCTGAGCGGTGTGTCCCCTTTGACAGAAACTTCGCTTAGCCACTAGACTAAGTTTTATAGTTTTCTAGAGTTTTATACCCGCAGCGCTCAGGGGTCTGCACTGGCAGCTTTTACGGCAGATCATCATCTACACCTGGGAGTAAGAGAATTCGGAGGAGGCTGAGCATGGCTTGTAAGCAATTCAGTCCATAACGCCACTTAACGTACGGGTGAATCTTTGCCCTGCTTCCAAATTTCTGGAAGAAAACAAAAAGGAGAGATACTTCAATAAAGCTTGGGTTTTGTACTGCAATAGCCTCAGCCTGCTCTGCCAGGCGACATAGTCAAATACGACCAAAATTCCCTCCTCGTGGCTGTGTCTCCGGGTCTGAGCCCTCCGGGAGGTGGTTTTTCCGGGGAGCAAATTTCATTTTTCTAAAAGTAAATAAACACGGGGGAAGCGGTGCTATTCCAAGAGCAAGCAAGCATCAAATTTTCATATTCCCAAGTAATAATTTATGAAGCAACCGATGGCGCAGCCTCCTGCCAAGTCGATTCCAGGAGGCACTGCGGGAAGCTCTGGTGAAGTCATTGCGCTCTTCAAAGATTTCTTCATCCTCCTAAAGAGTCAAAAAGGCAGCGCTGCTCATAGCTCGTTTTTACGCAGCCCTACTGATGAAGTGCTTACTGATGACTTTGCAGGTTTGGGGTTTTTTTTTATTGATGACTTTGCAGGTATTTTCCCTCAATTTTTGCAGCTTTTTTGCAACTAGTGAGCGTTCAGGCTAGCTAGAAATTACCTAAAGACCCAACTATTGCGCCAAGGACCGCTGTGTGCTGTGTAATTTATTCTGCTGCCCACCTGGGGCATCCTCTGAGCATGCTGCTGTTCTGCTCAATCCCAAATGAGTTGTTTTACTAAAGCCGCTGCTGTCGGGGCATGGATTAGCCTGGCTATTTGACAGCGTCCTGGCTCCGGTCAGCCCTCGGCGCCTCCAGAAGTGCTATGAATGCACTTTAAGCACAGAAAGCTAATCTGGATTAACTTGTTCGCTGACTTAAATTGTTTTTTTTTTTTTAAGCAGTTCTCCAGATTTGCAGTGTCTGCTTTTCCTACAACAAAGTATTGCGAGTTTGTGGGTGGATTCCGATATCGAAGTGAAGCTACAAATCCTTAACAGCAAAAATTCCAACTGATTCTGTAAACCTCCGACCTAAAATACTGAGATGTGGCAAGCCGAGGTGAAGCAAGAACAGGAGATTTGGGGAGGGGGGAGCAAGGGAGGACTCCCAAATTCCTTTTTTAGGGTTTGTGAGAAGACGTCACCTATCAGGCATGAGTCGTTTGAAGTCAACTGGTGACAGTAGCTGGCATCTCTTCCAGGATTTATTAAAATATCCCAGAAATTCTCATATAAAGCATGAAAGGCCAAGCGAGAGAATTTTAGATAGTGAGAAGTCACCATGTCTTTTATCAATCCTGAAGGGAGTAATAGAAAAACGGTTTGATAAGGAATAATTAATGGCCGGGACTGTGTTCTCATGGGGAGGGAGCGTTTGGCAAAGGCTTTGATCAGCCAGCTGATAAAAAACTTTATGGATGGGCTGTCGGATTTCTAAAGGATTTGGCTGAAGCTTCAGAACATCCTGCGGTATCAACGGTGCTATTTTTTTTTTAGATATTAAACGGACAGGAGGAAATCCTTCATGAGCTGAACAGCAGGTATAATGTTTGCAGGAGTCATCTGAATTCTTTTTTTTTGAGCCCTAACCTACAAACATCATAGCAGGGCAATGACTCACGGGGTGAAATAACCGCCCGCGATGTCAGAAGGCAAAAAAAGGAAAAGCAGCAGAGGAATGCCAACCGTTGTGCCAGAAATATTGATCCTTTGATGGGAGAGTGACTCAGTGGAAATACTGAGGATTTTTTTGCCGTGAAGTCTTGGGCAGCATGGCACCGAGATGATGACTAATGAAAGCGATTTCAGGGGTTTATCCTGAGAGGCAAGGGAGAGGTAAAAGCTGGAATGTTGTTTGTTTTCCAGGATGGGCAGCTTTTCTCCCAGACCTAGAGCTCTTCATATCGCCCAGGTTTGTTCAATACATCGCTGCCTTTCGGCTCCACTGAGCCCTGCCCCGCAGGGAGCGTGGAAAACAGTGTTTTAGAGAATAAAGGCATCCATGTGGGATTTTTTTTTTCCCTCTGAAGATGCGGAGGCAGTTGCAGAGCTGAGCTTTCCAAGGTCTGGCACGGTTTTTTTTATCATACCACAACTTGCGCTGTCGTTGGTGTAAACATGGGTGCCAGCCAGCAGGACCGGGCGCTTTCATCCGCAGCCCTGCCTCCGCGCCAGCCGTCCTGCCGGGCACGGGGACCCCGAAACCCAGCCCCGCGCTGGGGGAAGTGCTGCCAGCAGCTCGACGGACGATGCTGGCAGGGTCCTGGGAACGCTGACACTGAGGGCTGGCGGGCTTTAGCTGCAAAATCCCCGTAGCAATGGGATTTCAACAACCAAGATTACTTTTTTCCCCTCTTTCTGATGGGGAATATGACTTTTGAACTTGGATGGGTTTCTTTTTGATGTACTGGGAGTTCTGGGGGAAGTGCTGCCAGCAGCTCGACGGACGATGCTGGCAGGGTCCTGGGAACGCTGACACTGAGGGCTGGCGGGCTTTAGCTGCAAAATCCCCGTAGCAATGGGATTTCAACAACCAAGATTACTTTTTTCCCCTCTTTCTGATGGGGAATATGACTTTTGAACTTGGATGGGTTTCTTTTTGATGTACTGGGAGTTTAAAAAGTCAACGGCCTTTCATTATTGCAAAGAGCATGTGTTTTGCATTCAGTTTTCTCTTCCCAGTTTTGCATTCAGTTTTCTCTTCCCAGTTATCTTTATTTTGGTTATCTTGTGCTCCGGGTAAAAGTCTCTGATGCTTTGTTGTGCAGCGCAGAGGGGGAACAGGAACGCGTTCAAAACAAGCCGCCTTTGTGCTCTGTTTGGGTATCAGCATCTTCAAACATCAGAAATATTCTTTTAATTTCCAGCTACAAAGATATACCACTTCTCCAGTGCTAAAACTCTGGGATGATGAATTTTACTGGGACTTAAGCGTTAAAAAAAAACCCCTAAAAATCCACCCAGTGGTCTCCAGCTGCTTGTTTTCCACCCAAAGAACAGCTGAAGGCACCAAGGACTCGCACCCTCCTCCCCGATTTATTCCACACCTTTGCAAGGCTGGTATTAAGTGGAGTTTTCCCTTGTGCTTTTTGTTTTCCTGATTTTTTTTCATCTTCCTCGGCTTCATAACCTTTAAGAAGTAGGAAAGCAGGGTTTAATTTATTTTGATCTAGGATTAAAATACATGCCCCGTGGACGTCACGGTGCCGGGCTGGCTGGCCTGGGTTTGAATCCAAGTAGAGGAGAAGAATGCTGCCACCTCCCCTCAAAAATAATAAACCAGCTGTGTCCTGGGGTGAGAGCCCTGCTGGACGGGGGTTTGGTGTGGGGAGGAGGTTAGGAGGCTCCCAACCTGTCAGGTTTTAGGTCAGGATTAGATTTCTAAGGAAACTCAACCTTTGGAGAAAGCTTGAGTAGAAAAACCGCAGCATCGCTTTGCACTGCGTCTTAATTGTTCAGCTCAGCCTAAAAGGGGTCTGATGGTGTAAAAATGATCCAGGGTCAAATCTTAGGGAATCATAGAATCCCAGGATGGTTTGGG